TAGATAGATAGATAGATAGATAGATAGATAGATAGATAGATAGATAGATAGATAGATAGATAGATAGATAGATAGATAGATAGATAGATAGATAGATAGATAGATAGATAGATAGATAGATAGATAGATAGATAGATAGATAGATAGATAGATAGATAGATAGATAGATAGATAGATAGATAGATAGATAGATAGATAGATAGATAGATAGATAGATAGATAGATAGATAGATAGATAGATAGATAGATAGATAGATAGATAGATAGATAGATAGATAGATAGATAGATAGATAGATAGATAGATAGATAGATAGATAGATAGATAGATAGATAGATAGATAGATAGATAGATAGATAGATAGATAGATAGATAGATAGATAGATAGATAGATAGATAGATAGATAGATAGATAGATAGATAGATAGATAGATAGATAGATAGATAGATAGATAGATAGATAGATAGATAGATAGATAGATAGATAGATAGATAGATAGATAGATAGATAGATAGATAGATAGATAGATAGATAGATAGATAGATAGATAGATAGATAGATAGATAGATAGATAGATAGATAGATAGATAGATAGATAGATAGATAGATAGATAGATAGATAGATAGATAGATAGATAGATAGATAGATAGATAGATAGATAGATAGATAGATAGATAGATAGATAGATAGATAGATAGATAGATAGATAGATAGATAGATAGATAGATAGATAGATAGATAGATAGATAGATAGATAGATAGATAGATAGATAGATAGATAGATAGATAGATAGATAGATAGATAGATAGATAGATAGATAGATAGATAGATAGATAGATAGATAGATAGATAGATAGATAGATAGATAGATAGATAGATAGATAGATAGATAGATAGATAGATAGATAGATAGATAGATAGATAGATAGATAGATAGATAGATAGATAGATAGATAGATAGATAGATAGATAGATAGATAGATAGATAGATAGATAGATAGATAGATAGATAGATAGATAGATAGATAGATAGATAGATAGATAGATAGATAGATAGATAGATAGATAGATAGATAGATAGATAGATAGATAGATAGATAGATAGATAGATAGATAGATAGATAGATAGATAGATAGATAGATAGATAGATAGATAGATAGATAGATAGATAGATAGATAGATAGATAGATAGATAGATAGATAGATAGATAGATAGATAGATAGATAGATAGATAGATAGATAGATAGATAGATAGATAGATAGATAGATAGATAGATAGATAGATAGATAGATAGATAGATAGATAGATAGATAGATAGATAGATAGATAGATAGATAGATAGATAGATAGATAGATAGATAGATAGATAGATAGATAGATAGATAGATAGATAGATAGATAGATAGATAGATAGATAGATAGATAGATAGATAGATAGATAGATAGATAGATAGATAGATAGATAGATAGATAGATAGATAGATAGATAGATAGATAGATAGATAGATAGATAGATAGATAGATAGATAGATAGATAGATAGATAGATAGATAGATAGATAGATAGATAGATAGATAGATAGATAGATAGATAGATAGATAGATAGATAGATAGATAGATAGATAGATAGATAGATAGATAGATAGATAGATAGATAGATAGATAGATAGATAGATAGATAGATAGATAGATAGATAGATAGATAGATAGATAGATAGATAGATAGATAGATAGATAGATAGATAGATAGATAGATAGATAGATAGATAGATAGATAGATAGATAGATAGATAGATAGATAGATAGATAGATAGATAGATAGATAGATAGATAGATAGATAGATAGATAGATAGATAGATAGATAGATAGATAGATAGATAGATAGATAGATAGATAGATAGATAGATAGATAGATAGATAGATAGATAGATAGATAGATAGATAGATAGATAGATAGATAGATAGATAGATAGATAGATAGATAGATAGATAGATAGATAGATAGATAGATAGATAGATAGATAGATAGATAGATAGATAGATAGATAGATAGATAGATAGATAGATAGATAGATAGATAGATAGATAGATAGATAGATAGATAGATAGATAGATAGATAGATAGATAGATAGATAGATAGATAGATAGATAGATAGATAGATAGATAGATAGATAGATAGATAGATAGATAGATAGATAGATAGATAGATAGATAGATAGATAGATAGATAGATAGATAGATAGATAGATAGATAGATAGATAGATAGATAGATAGATAGATAGATAGATAGATAGATAGATAGATAGATAGATAGATAGATAGATAGATAGATAGATAGATAGATAGATAGATAGATAGATAGATAGATAGATAGATAGATAGATAGATAGATAGATAGATAGATAGATAGATAGATAGATAGATAGATAGATAGATAGATAGATAGATAGATAGATAGATAGATAGATAGATAGATAGATAGATAGATAGATAGATAGATAGATAGATAGATAGATAGATAGATAGATAGATAGATAGATAGATAGATAGATAGATAGATAGATAGATAGATAGATAGATAGATAGATAGATAGATAGATAGATAGATAGATAGATAGATAGATAGATAGATAGATAGATAGATAGATAGATAGATAGATAGATAGATAGATAGATAGATAGATAGATAGATAGATAGATAGATAGATAGATAGATAGATAGATAGATAGATAGATAGATAGATAGATAGATAGATAGATAGATAGATAGATAGATAGATAGATAGATAGATAGATAGATAGATAGATAGATAGATAGATAGATAGATAGATAGATAGATAGATAGATAGATAGATAGATAGATAGATAGATAGATAGATAGATAGATAGATAGATAGATAGATAGATAGATAGATAGATAGATAGATAGATAGATAGATAGATAGATAGATAGATAGATAGATAGATAGATAGATAGATAGATAGATAGATAGATAGATAGATAGATAGATAGATAGATAGATAGATAGATAGATAGATAGATAGATAGATAGATAGATAGATAGATAGATAGATAGATAGATAGATAGATAGATAGATAGATAGATAGATAGATAGATAGATAGATAGATAGATAGATAGATAGATAGATAGATAGATAGATAGATAGATAGATAGATAGATAGATAGATAGATAGATAGATAGATAGATAGATAGATAGATAGATAGATAGATAGATAGATAGATAGATAGATAGATAGATAGATAGATAGATAGATAGATAGATAGATAGATAGATAGATAGATAGATAGATAGATAGATAGATAGATAGATAGATAGATAGATAGATAGATAGATAGATAGATAGATAGATAGATAGATAGATAGATAGATAGATAGATAGATAGATAGATAGATAGATAGATAGATAGATAGATAGATAGATAGATAGATAGATAGATAGATAGATAGATAGATAGATAGATAGATAGATAGATAGATAGATAGATAGATAGATAGATAGATAGATAGATAGATAGATAGATAGATAGATAGATAGATAGATAGATAGATAGATAGATAGATAGATAGATAGATAGATAGATAGATAGATAGATAGATAGATAGATAGATAGATAGATAGATAGATAGATAGATAGATAGATAGATAGATAGATAGATAGATAGATAGATAGATAGATAGATAGATAGATAGATAGATAGATAGATAGATAGATAGATAGATAGATAGATAGATAGATAGATAGATAGATAGATAGATAGATAGATAGATAGATAGATAGATAGATAGATAGATAGATAGATAGATAGATAGATAGATAGATAGATAGATAGATAGATAGATAGATAGATAGATAGATAGATAGATAGATAGATAGATAGATAGATAGATAGATAGATAGATAGATAGATAGATAGATAGATAGATAGATAGATAGATAGATAGATAGATAGATAGATAGATAGATAGATAGATAGATAGATAGATAGATAGATAGATAGATAGATAGATAGATAGATAGATAGATAGATAGATAGATAGATAGATAGATAGATAGATAGATAGATAGATAGATAGATAGATAGATAGATAGATAGATAGATAGATAGATAGATAGATAGATAGATAGATAGATAGATAGATAGATAGATAGATAGATAGATAGATAGATAGATAGATAGATAGATAGATAGATAGATAGATAGATAGATAGATAGATAGATAGATAGATAGATAGATAGATAGATAGATAGATAGATAGATAGATAGATAGATAGATAGATAGATAGATAGATAGATAGATAGATAGATAGATAGATAGATAGATAGATAGATAGATAGATAGATAGATAGATAGATAGATAGATAGATAGATAGATAGATAGATAGATAGATAGATAGATAGATAGATAGATAGATAGATAGATAGATAGATAGATAGATAGATAGATAGATAGATAGATAGATAGATAGATAGACAGACAGCGAAACTATTATTATAGATTATAAAAAGTTTAAGTAATTAAAAATGGATTTAAAATATTGTCTATATCCTGAGTTGCCATCCTCCGTAATGTTATATAAGAATATTTGAGAAAGTTTAGGGGAGATCACTTCCGGTTTATTCCTTTTATTGCATAAATTTTCTTAGGAGTAGTTTTAACAACATCAAAACGTTACATGGCCATCGGGTGAACGACTTTGCTGAGCATTAAAAATGACGGACAGATACAAACGCTAACAGACACAATTTCATGTTTATATATATTATATAAATTACTATACATATAATTGTGTACTTTTTGTAAACTAACCTACTCACCGACCAATGAAACTCGGCTACCAGGTATCGATGTATAAAGATAAGGTAAGGGGGTAAAGAAATTTAAAAACTGGCTCAGATCATGTAGGGACGATTCCAAACTTTCTAAAGTCTGAAGGTGTTTCTCACATTTATTTCAAACAGGAAAACGGCTGGACCTTCAGGTTTTTGCTCATTTTGTTGACGGCCTACCTCGTCGTACCAGGCATTGGCTATACGATGACTTCCCTGAATGCACCCGCTGATGTAAGTTTTCACTTGCTTTTTAATTTGAACTAGACTGCCAGTTATCTTGGATAACGGTGTTTCTCGGGGGTCATCCATAAATAACATCACATCAGTCATTTATCGTAACAAAAAGAAAACAGACCCCACATTCAAAAAGACGAAAAACCTCAGACGTTTTTGTCTTTTTAAAACACCTGTTTCGGCTGAGCATTGGTGTGACCACACTATCCCTTCATATGCTGAGGTCACAAAAACAAGTCAACGCTACTTCACCTGCCCAGTGCCCCCCCCCCCCAAATCAGATATGTTTTTGTCTTTTTAATCTCCGATTTCGGCTGAGCATGGCACTGACCACACTATCCCTTCCTATGCTGACGTCACGGGTGAAGTCTACACCTACCCAACTTAACTTCACCTACCCAGTGTCCCGCCAAGTTTCAGACAACATGTTTTTATCATTTAAAAAACGGTTTCGGCTGAGCATGGTACTGACCACACTATCCCTTCCTATGCTGACGTCACGGGTGAAGTCTACACCTACCCAACTTAACTTCACCTACCCAGTGTCCCGCCAAGTTTCAGACAACATGTTTTTATCATTTAAAAAACGGTTTCGGCTGAGCATGGTACTGACCACACTATCCCTTCCTATGCTGACGTCACGGGTGAAGTCTACACCTACCCAACTTAACTTCACCTACCCAGTGTCCCGCCAAGTTTCAGACAACATGTTTTTATCATTTAAAAAACGGTTTCGGCTGAGCATGGCTGACCACACTATCCCTTCATATGCTGAGGACATAGAAACAGGTGAACTCTACTTCACCTTCCCTGTATCCCGCCAAATTCCTACAGGCAACTTTATCATTCTTACCCTTCAATGTTAGCTATCTAGGTTCTTCATATCAGAGACATATTTATTCCTATATTTTACTTTAGGTCTACATAAGAAACTTTATTTACGCGAATAGGCCCTAGTATTATTTCAAATTACATTTTATCCAAAATTATCCAAATCAATAGCTAAACAAGGATTGTTATCAAATAATTAAAGCCTGAAATAGTTTAGTGAAGTAGAGATTCTAAATCTAGATAGATCTAGATCACTTGTAGAATACGTACTCTAAAATTACATGATCATTGAAGCTAAAAAGCAAAGATTTATATCAAATATTTAAGGTCTAACATAGTTTAATAAAGAAACACAATGATTTATTTTGTTTTTAAAATTAATTTTGTTTATAACTAATTATGTTTTGTTTGACCTAGATGTTATATCTAGGATTGACCGTCCCTTCGTCTGACAGCTTATCTGTAGATCTAGAGAAACTTTTTGTATACTCAAATTAGAAGAACTGTTGAAAACTGATAATAGTGTTGGAACTATATAAAAATATGGTTAAAGCTATAGCCGTTAGAAAATTAGTTTTATAATGCGTTAAACTTTTGAATGGGCAAAAAAAAATCTTCGATGAAAGCCGCCATTATTGTATTAAAAGTAAATAAAACATGTGTGACATCACTATAAGTAAAGTCATTGTTCTGAACTTTTATAATTAAAGTGATGTATATACCAATGAATATATCAATAAATTAGTTAACGTTTTAAAATAAATTTGTGATTAACAGTTTGGTCAAAAAGAGCATTATTCTCTACCTAAATACGTATTTTACAGCTATACACATAGTGCAGATTCTCTCATGTAACCAAACAGACAAATAAACAAACAAACAAACAAATAAATATACAAACTTGTAAACAAACTTGAGTTTTTGTAGTATATAGAAAAATCGAAGAATATAGCGTTTTTATTTTGTTTGTTACTGCGGGTTGGGGTGTGCAATGTTGTGCTTCAAGTTGTTGAGAATTTAGGGACCGGGATGTTGTAGGTTTTACTTTGGGGTGTCGTTTATCGTGTCAGGCTGTGTGGTGAGAAGTGGTGTGGGTTTTATTACCCCCAGTGTGTTGTGTTGTTTGCTTTTATGTAGTGTATTGCATGGGATGGTTGGTTAATACGTTTGGTTCGTGGAGTTAATTGTGCGAGCTTTGGATTATGCTAAGTGGTCTAGTGGACGATGTCGTGTTGGCTAGGGAAGGCAGGTTGGGGGTGTGAAACAGGTAATGTGGGGATTGGTTTGTGGTTCATTCTGTCGTTTGGGTTAGAATACTGTTTTTAAGCATTTCCACTTCTGTTTTCCTCTCCCGTTAATTCTTTTTTACGTTCTCGTATATACGAAATATAGAGAAAGTCTTGTAATCGAGACGTTTTACACCTCATTGATACGGAAAAACATAATTTTGCAATCTTGTCTGTGTGTGTGTATGTAAACACGATAACTTGAGTACCGTGACAGCTAGGTTGATGAAATTTCATTTATAAGTATTTTATCAAAATCGTAGATCCATCCGTAACAACTTTTGAGTGATTTCCAATAACCGGAAGTGGTACTTTTTCTACTTTGAAATTTTTCAAAAGCCTATAGCTTGAGTACTATTTCAGATAGATAAATGAAATTTCAAATGTAAGTAAAAGATCTAATTCTCTACCTTCTGTCAAATTTTGAGTAAATTCCGTTTACCGGAAGTGCTAATTTAGGCCATTTATGATTTCTAAAAAAAAAAACGCATGTAAATTTATAAAATACTAATAATATTCCGCACTAGCATGCACATTTTGTTTGGGCGTTCGCTTGGTGCGCAATTCTTTTTACTACGAGATTATATTATATTTTTAAAAGTTTAAGTAATTAAAAATCTTGTCTATATTGCGAGTTATATAATAATATTTGAGAAAGTTTAGGGGAGATCACTCCCGGTTTATTCATTTTATTTTCGAAATTTAATATTTATTTCACAAACATTTCAAAAGAACCGTTATAAGTATAGCGTCATTCTTCCATCAACCCTCCAAATAATACATTGCAGTTTCAAACGGCGGGAAGCACAGGTTTGCAGCTCATTAGTTATAACTCACTTTTAAGTTTAAGGAATAATTTTCCTTTAAAAGTCGAATGACAGTTTGATGCATTTCACCTCATCTCTTAAAAGAATTCATGATCGAAACAAAATTTAAAAGAGACGGTGAATGGATGTCCACAGATGTCATTGCCTCCCTGTTGTGTCTGCTTGTTATAACTCACTTCGTAGTTTGAGAAATAATTTAAAAAAAAAACCCACTAATTTAAAATTCGATACCCTTTCACGTCAGCTCATAAAAGAATTCATGAACGAAACAAAATTCAAAAGAGACGGCGAATGGATGTCCACTGATGCAGTTGACTCCCTGTTTGGTCTGCTGGTCGCCGTTGTTGGAGTCGGGTCAGCAGTTGGGTCGCTCACAGCCAGCATTATTGCAGATAAGTTTGGACGGTAAGTAAGCGTGTGCATGTTCATTTTACAAGGTGTTACTTAGGTCATAATGGCCGTTTGTTTGTGGCATTGCAACTCAATTTTAACCCACTTTTAATAAGGCGATTTCGATCAAACTTTTCACATGCGTCCTTCTTCGATGACAATCCATTAATATATTTTTTTAAATTACAATATTCTGTACGGGAAAAATCAACACAATACATGTGAGCACAGTGTCAAAAATGTAAAATTTTAAAAACAAACAAATAACTTACAAATTTGCGGCTAAGTGTTCACAGCGAAGCTGATATACCGAGATCTACATTTGAAAAAAAATAAAGAAAAAGAATCGTTGACATGCCCCTTTTATACCCAATTTAACGGATGCTTGTCTACACAACTTCGGCACACTAAAAATAAAACAACGATACGCTAAATTAAAATAAAGCAAAACTAACTTTATCATTCACTCACTGAAATACATAAATAAAGAACTTCATAGATAATACTTCATGTAATATGATTTTTTTCTGCTCCCTTCTTTTCTGCAGATAAATATGCTATGTTACGGCTCTGCCTTTAAGCAATCGAAATTTCAGAGTTTCTAATAATCTTATTTTTGTTGAGGCCTATGTCAAAATTTCTGTAACCCGCTTTTGGATTTCCCTAGCGGCTGACGATCAAAGCAAATCATACTAATTTCGATGAGAGGAAATACTTGACAGTGTCAAATGAATTTTCTTCCTGTTCTAATTTAAAGTATCTTTTATGTTTGGTAGACAAGGACAATACTCGAGTAATACACGTAACTAGTGTGGTACTGGTGTTTCACAAAACAGATATGGAGATTTCTGTACCAACTAACCATCGGTACCCGTTACACGTGAATTATAGGCCTAGACATTTTAATGTTATACTTGTTTGACCAAAATCTTACTGGACTTAAATGATTCCGTTAAAAACCCGGCTGTTTAATGGTAGTTATATTGCTTTTGCCTTTTAAAAAAACCTATTTCGGCTGAGCATGGGTCTGACCACACTATCGCTCCATATATGTCATGATAATTTCCACTTCAGGTTATCGGAAGTAGCTGAAAAGTTGATACAGAACTACAAATTTGATATAATACTTTGATATGATATTTCATCAACCTAGCTGTAATGGCACTACAGTTATCGTGTTTACAGACACACATACACACAGACACATACAGACACACACAGACATACGGACAGACTTGCAAGCCCAGTTTTTTCGACTTGATTACGTATAAAACGCCGACATTTTGATAAATCTGCATTAATAATTTTAGCCCGATTAAAATAAGTCTCCTATACTTCGAATATGATGTAGTACTGAGGTGTAAAGCTATGAAAACTGTCAAAATTTAATGTGATATTTGTGCACAATAACAATACTTCCTCTATACTCTGTATACGAGAAAGTAAAAATAAACCTGATTTGGGTTTAGAACTTAGTTTGTAGCAGGAGCTAATTTGTGTAGACTAGTCTTTTATGCTCCCTCTTTGGAACAGTATCTGTTATGATGTTACATAGTTGAGACACAATTAAAATAAAAAATTAACAGAAACATTTATTGCACGAATTGAAATAAGACATGGGTATTTCGTTGACTGGTTAATCCTAATATATAAAAGCCCATGTGCGCACTTCTCTCTCTCTCTCTCTCTCTCTCTCTCTCTCTCTCTCTGTCAGCAATATCTTTTCGCAGGATATCACATCAGAATCTTCAGCGATCTATGGAGAAATTGATACGAACTTTTGTTGAAAATAATATGGTAGATGTTTTATATGTATAAACACAATTTTAAAAAATAAAAAATAAAGGCATATTCGAAATTAGAAAAACAGTTTTAATTATACAACCGGAAAAGTGTTTATAGTTGAGGCAAGGACGTCGCAATCGATGACGACACATGTCATATGTTTGAAGTACGTAAAGTACACACAACCAATGGCTTCATCTTCCAATTTTAGAATACGAAGAAATGAACTATTTCATTAAAATTTGATTTAGATTTATAGATTTACTTATAGAGACGTAATTTATGAAATGTATACAATTTGCTCGGATAAGCTAATACAAATGACTTAAAAAACAACATAAATACCATTGAAAAGCCGGGATTTTAACGGAATCATTTAAGTCTTTTAATCAATGTGTGCATTCAATACGGTGTTGTGTTGACTAATTATGTATATCATTTGGTTTTATTTTTTCTAATAGGTATTAGTAGCCTATGTTATTTTAAATGTGTCCGACTTTTAGCTATTTTATTATTTCTTTGCTTTATCACTAATATCGTTAAACCTGTAGTAAAGCACATTGCGTTTTGACCAAAAACTATTTTATAAAATATTCTTCTGAAAAATGTAGGCCTATAACATTAAAAATATGTAGACCAATAATCCACGAGAAACGGGTACCGACGGCTAGTTGTATAATAAAACAAGCAAGATGATACAAACTGGAATCCAACGTACACAACATTTCCGAAGTCTTGGATTTCGCAGATATGAGCTGCCTTCTCACAAATAGTGAGCAACAAATTGAACTGGTTGAAGAAGCAGTAATAACTGGTTTAATAATAGTAGCATGTGACGTACAGTTTAGAATCAGTAGCAAGGGTAGAGCAGGTTTTATCGTCACTAACATTTTTACGGCTACACAATCGTGCAATACGCTTTAATACGATTGGTTTCTTTTATATATAAGTGATAACGTTTATCTACTTATAAATTCAGTGTAAATACTTCAGATTTTAGTCAGCGAAAAAGCGAAAAAATACTCATGCTCATTGCAATGGCATAATTTCAGACAGTACCGTGTAAATGTTGTGATTTTATCTTAATATGATATTTCATACATAAATGAAATCAAAGAAATCTTTTCACTTTTTTGAAAAAAAATTTCAATGTAACTTTTCGTTATGCTTGTTACCACCTAAATCTGTAAATTATCCAAAAACTTTATCCGCAGAAAACTATCCATTATCCTGAAACTTTATCCACAGAAAACTATCTATTATCCTTGCTTCTGTGACTGGGCTCATTGGCGTACTGTTGATGGCACTGTGCAGGGTCGGCTCCTCCTACGAGATGTTGTTTGTGGGGCGGACACTAACTGGGTTTACACTTGGTTAGTCACTTTGTTAGACTAAGTGGGTTTGTTTGGCTAGATGGTTGGTTTCTTTTGCTAGATGGGTGGGTTTGTTCTACTGGTGTTCGGTACAAAAACACCCCAACAATACCCTCCCCCAACATAAACCCCCTGGACACCCGCCCTTACCCAATTGTGGTTTATATTAGGAAGCCTTAAACAAGATGAGAACCAAAATTAATAATTAAAAACTTAAAAGACACAAAATGCTCTGTTTTATTATAATTTTAATTTTAAAAAGAGATATTGTGAGCGATGGCTCGCAAATACTCAATTATTGTGTGCTCCAGTGGCATAGCCAGGATAGTCTCATGGGGGGAGGGGGTTTAAATTTTTTACTTTATTATATATATATATATATATATATATATATATATATATATATATATATATATATATATATATATATATATATATATATATATATATATATATATATATATATACTAGCCGTCCGGGCCAGACCCTGCTCTGGCCTCTGTGAAAAACCTATCTGTAAAGGACCATGACATTTGTGTTTTGTAATCAGCATATACCCGGCATTGCCCACCCTAATCACAACCAGCCAAAACCAAAACACAAAAAAGAACCGCGAACATAACACAAACACAACACAAACACAACACAATCACAACCCAAACACAACACATTACAATCACAACACAACACAAACAAAACACAACACAACACAAACAAAACACAACACAAACAAAAACACAACACAACACAAATAATGTAATATCCTTCTACTATTTGTTTTTACAATAAAAATTGTCTACAGTCAGAATTTAATTTATATTTCACTAGCCGTCCCGACCAGGCCATGCTCTGGCTTCTGTGAAAAACCTTTCTGTTAAAGACCATTACCTGTGTGTTTAGTAATCATCATAAACCCGGCATTGCCCACCCAAACCACAACCAACCAAAACCAAAACAACAAAACGCAAACATAACGCTAACACAATTACAAATACAAACGAAAACAAAAACCTAACAACAAACACAACCACAAACACCAATACAAACACAAAGAAAAAACAAACAAAAAAGCAAACGAAAACAAAAACCTAACAACAAACCCAACCACAACCACAAACACTAATACGAACACAAAGAAAAAAAAACGAAAAAGCAAACGAAAACAAACCAAATCCAAACGCAAAACCAACTACAAACACAAAAACAAACCCAAAGAAAAAAAAACACAAACAAAAAACCAAACGAAAACAAACCGAATCCAAACGCAAAACCAACCACAAACACAAATACAAACACAAACCCAAAGAAAAAAAACACAAACGAAAACGAAAAAAGAAAGAACAAAAACGAACCAAATCAAAACGCAACCACTAACGCAAACCCAACCTAAACACAAAGAAAACACAAACGCGAACATAAACGCAAAGTGCTCACAGTCTAGCCCGGGGCAGAATCGCCTGTTTCAGCTTAATAAACGACTATAGTACCCCAACTTATTCATAGTTTTTTGCACTCACTTAAACGAACGTAGTTGCCAAACCAAACCAAATTAACAATTATAATACTCCAAGCTTATCCGTAAAATACCTACAACATTTGCACTTGATCAATCCCCGCTAATTATGTAATTATTTTTTTCCCAACAACAAAACAAATTAATAAAAAGCAAATTCTTTTCCACTAATGCAATGTTTTATAAAGGGAAGGAATTGTGTTTTCCTAATTTATCAAAGGGAAGTAAGTGCTAATGGACTAAATATAAATAATTATCAGACATAATTAGAATTTTTGCAAAAGATGATATTTTTTTTAAAATTGTGTTTAATGAACATGCAGACAATTATTACTGTCAGTTAGAAAAATGAAAATTATTTCCCAACACTTTCAGTATTAATTTTTTAACTCATAAATTTAGACCATGAGCACGATAATAATCTAACACTTAAATCCATCGAAGTATGTCAACGACAAACTTATTACATGTTACATACAGAATTGAGCTTTATATATTAGATTATAAATGTTACAACATAACAGCATAAATAAAGTTAGTGAACGCAGAGTTGGTATAAAAGCTTACTATTAATCTTTATGGTAATCTAAATCGGTTCCATGACAAATGATCTCAGGACAAATGATCTCAGACAAAATATCTCAGACAAAATATTTCACGGACAAACAATCTCAGGATAAATTATCTCAGGACAAATTATCTCAAGGACAAATGATCTCACGGACAAAAGATACCAGGACAAAATTTATTGGCACAAATGATATCATGGACAAATGATCTCAGACAAATCTTTGTAATAGCATTTAATTTGAATAAGTAAAAATTAAAAAGAACGTACTCCTTTAGTCTGAAAGGTTTAATAAATGATAATGTATAAAACAAATAAAGTAACATTAATGTTCAAAACACGCTAAATATTTTTTTAAATGTAAATGGGTCTTCAGGTTCGTAACGTTACTATTGTTTTTATTACAGCATCAACTGAAACATAACTTTTACGTTTCTTTGCTGGCAGGTACATCGTTATGTTCACACCTCTTCAATACTATGTGATCATGTATTGTGTGAACGCTTGCTCGACATGTTCTAACTTCAGATTTCCAAATCTCTTTGACTGCTGCACCACTTATGGCTTTAATAAACATAAATTCACCAGAAAGTAATGTTCTAAAATCTTTCTGCTAGGTAACTAATGAGGCCATAGCTGAGTAAGCACCACTAATATTGCTTTGTTTGCATGCACACTACGACAAATTTAGCTCCGCGATGACTGCTGTCGTTTAAATAAGCATTTGTCACCTTATCACTAAGGTCTGACCGACGCATAACTATTGACTTTATTAGTTGTAATGTCAAATGAGGGCGGTTGTCTTTCTCTAAAGGCATGTCTCTACTATACGGGGGCGGCCACCTTGTAACGAAGGTGTGTCTTTATTGTTATTTCATCCCCTTTGATCTAGTTTCGTCCACCTGACGTGGTAGGATTGTCTCATGTTTGTCAAGCTCACCTACGCTGTCTATCGAAAAAAAAATCTTTAATCTTCGCATACTATATTAGTAATCTTAATTTTAAAATGACAATTGTATATGGCAAACACTTCTTACAATTATAATATTGGCCTATAAACGATATTAAACATGGTAAACAAAACCATATGACAGTCAATTAAAAAAATGTTCAAATCAACTTAAATTATCCAATACACTATTAAAATTTTGCTGTGAGATATTTTGTGAGATATTTTGTCTGAGATCAATTGTCCATGGTATCATTTGTCCTGATATATTTTGTCCTGGTCTCTTTTGTCCTTGAGATCATTTGTCCTGAGATCATTTATCCGTGAGATATTTTGTCTGAGATATTTTGTCTGAGATATTTTGTCTGAGATCATTTGTCCTGAGATCATTTTTCCTGTCACCTCTAAATCTAATAATTGCAACATACTGAATAATGACCCACTGTATATAATATTTAAATGTATCTCAATTATTGGGCTTACATTTTAAATTGTTACATATTTTTTAATTAGCTACTGCTTTTTGCGTTCTTAAGAGATTATTTTTTAACATAATGATAAGGTATGGGTTGGATCACATCTTTTTTACTGGTAAATGCAAAATCGATATTCACTGTTTTACTTGTTTTAAAAGTTATGCTTCTCGTTGTAAAATAAACAGCTATAGTTATGCTTTAGTTTAAGATTGCTTATTCATCTTGTGGGTAAAATTTAACTCTTATCTACAATGTTTTTATATTGTTTTAGCTAAATTTACCCGAGGTATTTAAGTATATATTCTTTAAGTACATCTGTGCGTGTTGATCAGCTTGACTCAAACTGCGTATATTTTTCTGTAGGCTACATTTATTCAGTATCCTCCCACTCCCCCTCCATAAACTTGCATATAGTTTTTAACATCAAAGATTAGCAAAATCGTATTCTACGGGACACACTTTAGGTAAACAATCACTCTAAGTTTCTAGACTCATCTTAAACCCCAATGTTAATAGGCCTCCCCCATAAAAGAGGGATCGCTGAATTGAGTCTGACAAGTCAAGTAAAGACTACACTTGTGAATGAATAAAATCTGTAGGTGGTTGTCTGTCTATAACTAGCAGTGTTAACACAAACAGCAGATGTACATGCGCTAAAGTGTACATACAAAAAAGCATCTTGCACATGCCTGACGCTGAGATAGGCACAATAAGTAAGCCAAGAAAAAGGTTTGATATCTATTTGCGATGATTTATTAAAAATGGGATATTTAGGGTACATATCATGATGGTTTTTAATTCATAGTTTCAGTAATGTGGTTGCATTTGTTTTTTTTTTGCGAAACTTGTTTTAAATTTTATTTATTTTTTCTACGAAATAGGCGCCACTATCCTTAAAGTGGTTGTAGGGGGAGCGAAGCTGGTGCCAGCCTTCAACTGAGTTGTTTATTTAAGGCATATTGTCTTCTGCACGTGTGCATATTCCACATATGAAGTGGAAACATAGATTATCTTTGACATCGACGTTGTGGTCTGCCAATATAGTAGCCCTAGAAATAGTTTGCAATTGACATTGCTTGTTGGATGAAAATTTCAGCTAATTTATCAGACATTACTAATGTGTTCAATGGGTATAGAAGCCAACGCAGATAGTATTCTAAGCTTGATAACAAAATCGCTATCAAGTTGGTAAAATTGCTGAAGACCAGAGTCCTGTATTTTTACTTCCTCGTATACGAAGTATAAAGAATGTATTGTAATCTTGCAAAAGAAAAATCGATATTTTTTTGCAAATCTTGACGTTTTACACCTTAGTAAAAATAAACATAGTTTTGCAATCTTGTCCTTATGTCTATGTGTGTGTGTGTGTGTTGTGACGGTAAAACCATCATTGAGGTCAACATCCTAGTATATAAAGGAGGAATTTTCCTAGCACGGGAGCCCACTAGACACCGACTGGAGAGTAAGAGAGCCACGACGCCATGTTGTATTTTCTAGATTAAGCAGTAATTGTCTTTAAGTCTCTTTGTATTCAGTAATGTTCTGTGTCTTTTTTTAATAACGTGTAGGTTTGTGGTGATGACTTAGGTACCTTAACCAGTGTTAGTAGTTTCAGTGTGTTATTCCTGAATTTGTAAGTTGAGTTTTTTCATCATTGTATTTTTTGTGTGCATAGTATTAGTATTTTATTATTTAGACTTGTATACATTTTAGAAGATTTTAGATTGATTAAAAGTTTATTAGTTGCAGAAGGTCTTCGTATTTGTTTTCGCCCTAGACATTAGAATTGAGTCCGTGAAGAGTTTTTGTTTTCTGGTAATCTTTTTAGTTTCTCTTATAATTCATCAGTCTAGAACCATACCCAAACGAATTCGGGTATTGCATAACATTTACACGTGGTAGAGATACGTAATGATACCCTAACGAACCAGACTGGGTATCAGATTCATCATAAGTATATCATTGTTTATACATTGACATTTTCCTGTACACTCTTCCTGGGGAAACCTACATGTTAAAGCGGAGATTTCAAGAAACCAGAGACGGAAGACCTGCGTTTTGGAGTTGAAAGGTGTTGTGCTGGGGCGACAGAGAACCTACAACAGTGTCGACAACTGCGGCCTGTGTCTGGACCACTCCAACCCAGTGTCTGGACCTCTCCAACCCAGTGTCTGGACCACTCCAACCCTGTGTCTGGTCCTCTCCAACCCTGTGTCTGGACCTCTCCAACCCTGTGTCTGAACCACTCCAACCCTGTGTCTGGACCACACCAACCCTGTGTCTGGACCACTCCTTTGTCGGAACCAATCAAGCCCTGTGTCTGGACCTCTCCAACCCTGTGTCTGAACCACTCCAACCCTGTGTCTGGACCACTCCAACCCTGTGTCTGAACCACTCCAACCCAGTGTCTGGACCTCTCCAACCCTGTGTCTGGACCTCTCCAACCCTGTGTCTGAACCACTCCAACCCTGTGTCTGGACCTCTCCAACCCTGTGTCTGGACCTCTCCAACCCTGTGTCTGGACCTCTCCAACCCAGTGTCTGGACCTCTCCAACCCTGTGTCTGAACCACTCCAACCCTGTGTCTGGACCTCTCCAACCCTGTGTCTGGACCTCTCCAACCCTGTGTCTGGACCTCTCCAACCCAGTGTCTGGACCACTCCAACCCTGTGTCTGGACCTCTCCAACCCAGTGTCTGGACCTCTCCAACCCTGTGTCTGGACCTCTCCAACCCTGTGTCTGGACCACTCCAACCCTGTGTCTGGACCACTCCAACCCTGTGTCTGGACCACTCCAACCCTGTGTCTGGACCTCTCCAACCCTGTGTCTGGACCACTCCAACCCTGTGTCTGGACCACTCCAACCCTGTGTCTGGACCACTCCAACCCTGTGTCTGGACCACTCCAACCCAGTGTCTGGACCACTCCTTTGTCGGAACCAATCAAGCCCTGTGTCTGGACCACTCCAACCCTGTGTCTGGGCCACTCCAACCCTGTGTCTGGACCACTACAACCCTGTGTCTGGGCCACTCCAACCCTGTGTCTGGACCACTACAACCCTGTGTCTGGACCACTACAACCCTGTGTCTGGACCACTCCAACCCTGTGTCTGGACCTCTCCAACCCTGTGTCTGGACCATTCCAACCCTGTGTCTGGACCACTCCAACCCTGTGTCTGGACCACTCCAACCCTGTGTCTGGACCACTCCAACCCTGTGTCTGGACCACTCCAACCCAGTGTCTGGACCACTCCTTTGTCGGAACCAATCAAGCCCTGTGTCTGGACCACTCCAACCCTGTGTCTGGGCCACTCCAACCCTGTGTCTGGACCACTACAACCCTGTGTCTGGGCCACTCCAACCCTGTGTCTGGACCACTACAACCCTGTGTCTGGACCACTACAACCCTGTGTCTGGACCACTCCAACCCAGTGTCTGGACCACTCCAACCCTGTGTCTGGACCTCTCCAACCCTGTGTCTGGACCACTACAACCCTGTGTCTGGACCTCTCCAACCCTGTGTCTGGACCATTCCAACCCTGTGTCTGGACCACTCCTGTGTCGGAACCAATCAAGCCCTGTGTTGGGACCACTCCAACCCCATGTCGGGACCACTCCTGTATCGGGACCACTCCTGTGTCGAGACCACTCCTGTGTCGGGACCACTCCAACCCTGTGAAGAGACTGCTGCGTACAATCTGTTTGTAAACCGGACAATGTGTTATTCTAATTTATAATAAATTTTGATATTGTACCCTTAGGAATTAGTAAGTTGGTTTTTTTCGGTATTATCTACCGTTGACATGTGTGTGTGTGTGTATGTCTGTAAACACGATAACTTGATGAAATTTTATATATAAGTATTATATCAAATATGTAGTTCTGTATCAACTTTTCAGCGATTTCCGATAAACGGAAGTAGAATTTATTTTACTTTCAATTTTTTAAAAAGCCTATAACTTGAGTACTATTGCAGATAGATAAATGCAATTTTACATGTAAGTGAAATATCTAATTCTCTGCCTTCTGTCAAAGTTTGAGTAATTTCCCTTGAACGAAAGTTGTAATTTACGCTATTACCGATTTCTCAAAAAACGCATGTGAGTTAATAAAGTACTAATAATATTCCGCACTGTTATACATATATTGTTTGGCCATCACTTAGTGCGCTATTTTTTTTTCTACCAGATTTTATTCTATTTTAAAAAGTAATTAAAAATAAGCTAAAAATTGTCTATTTTCTGAGTTGCCATCCCTCCGAGTGTTATATAAGAATATTCGAGAAAGTTTAGAGGAGATCACTCCCGGTTTATTTTGCTTCGTTTTACTTAACAGTCTGGATATACACTTTCACGCTTTTGTTTACAGTTATTTAAATAATAGTGTATTATTTATTTTCTACTTTTTAGTGTATTATTACATAAAAACTTGTTATTAAAACGTTTTTTTATGAATTTTTTTTCCAGTACTTTACATGTTTTATTTACAATAGAGTACATGACTAAAAACCATTGCGCGCCTATTGAACGCGATGACGCGCTATTGAACGTGATGCCGCGTGTGGAGTAGTTGGATAGAACTGCCCACCAATGTGGTCAAAATTTGTAATTAATCCATAAAAAATTATTTGGCATCCAATTAAGTCAAATTTAATGTCATAATGCATTGTCTTCATGTCTTGACCCACGTACCAATTACGAACCGTATCTGTCAGTTAGAAATGCCTGCCATTTCGCACGGACGTTTCGATCTAGACAGACAGACTAACGACAGACTGTCGACTGACGACAGATAGAGAAAGTGAGTTAAATAAAAGCTTGTAAAATAAACCGGGAGTGATCTCCCCTAAACTTTCTCGAATATTCTTATATAAAATAACAGGGGATGGGAACTCGGGCTATAGACATGATTTTTAATCCATTTTAAATACTTAAAGTTTTAAAAATAGAATAAAATCTCGTAGACAAATTAATTGCACACCAAGTGAACGCCCAATAAAAAAGCGCATAATAGTGCGCAATATTATTAGTACTTTTAAAATTTACATTAGTTTTTTGAGAAATCGGAAGTAGCGTAAATTACTACTTCCAGTCAACGGAAATTACTCAAAATTTAACAGAAGGTAGAGAATTAGATCTTTTACTTACATGTGAAATTTCATTTATCTATCTGAAATAGTACTCAAGTTATAGGCTTTTGAAAAATTCAAAGTAGGAAAAGTACCACTTCCGGTTATCGGAAATCGCTCAAAAGTTGATACGGATCTACGATTTTGATATAATACTTATATGTGAAATTTCATCAACCTAGCTGTAACGGTACTCAAGTTATCGTGTTTACACACGGACACACGGACACACAGACACACAGACACACAGACACACAGACACACACAGACATACGGACAAGATTGCAAAATTATGTTTTTCCGTATCAGTGAGGTGTAAAACGTCGAGATCTATAAAAATCTCGATTTTTTTTTGCACGATTACAATACTTTCTCTATACTTCGTATATACGAGAAAGTAAAAAGCAAGTCAAACTTAATAATTATGCCTCAATAAGCAATTTTCACTTCATCATGTGTTTATGGTGTATACAGGATGGGGTCTGAGCTTGGCCCCGGCCTACCTGGTGGAGATGGCGGTGCCGAGTATGCGGGGCAACGTGGCTCTGCTGAACCAGCTGTTCCAGAGCTTCTCCTTCTTCCTCGCTCAAGTTATGGGCTACACGGAACTGCTGGGGAATGAGCAGTATTGGCACTACCTTCTTGGTGAGTCACTTTTTATTTTTAGTTACAAACAAAACATCACCGTCATCTACGGTAATAAATAGTAAGGGCAGCACCCTTTCGCATCTTACTGTCCAAGGGGCAGATGAAATAGAGTTCGCATTTGAAAGGATCGTGCAGTCATCACTATGTCCAGCTGCCTTTACTCTCCCTAACATGAGTCATGAATCAGATCCAGGTATAATCTACAGTAGGTAAGGTTAAAGAAAAATAAAGTTTGAGAAAACGAATGAAGTTACCTACAAATGAGTATAATTGTTTGGGCTCTATCTACAGGTATGCCCGTAATATACTTCGATCTGCAGATAGGTATTTTGCTATTTTGTATAGAAATTGTGTCTAAATATTTGGATTCTATTTGCAGGTTTCCCCATTATTTTCTTCGGTCTACAGATTATTCTGCTGCCATTTTGTCCCGAGAGTCCCAGATATCTTTTGATGAATAAAAACGACACAGAGGGCGCCACTAGAGGTAAATACATACAGAAGCCCACTTATAGTGGAACATCGCGTGAAATTTTGTTGACATTTAATTTATTATTTATAACATTCATGCACCTAAAGCAAAAGAATGAAAGTAGCATCTAAGGCTGTAGCATGCAAATGTATTTGCTGTGATCCTACATTAGTACAAAAGATGTAGCGCTGCTACACTTGTACAAGTTAAAATGTATCCTTGTTATACAAACCGACGTGGTTCTAATATACCTCACTAGGGTTGACGATATAATATACTCCACAGTTCCCAAATTCTCCACAAACATCGAAATAGGCGTTTAATTAATTATACAGTTAAGAAAAATTTATAAAGTTTTAACATATTCTTCCTATTAATTTTTACCCTGTGTTTGTTAAGCATTACAGATGATTCGAAACAGAAAAAATGTAGAGGAAGACATCGCTATGCTGCACCAAGAACTGAAAGAGTCAGCCACTGAAGCTGAAGTGAGATTTATTTCTAACTATCTGGACTGCCTGGAGACGCGTGATAGTATGCCTTCAAGTGCTAACAGAATAATAAAACGCCTACAAACGCATCTTGTCAATTACTTTTTCAATATATATTTTCTAAATTATACCTAAGATCTATCTTAAAATTTAAATGTCAGTATTTAAAAAAAATATACTTTGCAGCTAAGGGGGATAGTCTGGTCGAGTGGTGGCGCACTTTCATGCTAACCACAAGTACTTGTGTATCGGTTTCCCAGCACGAGTCTTTGGGTTAGTCTTAAGTTAACCATAAGGCCCCTTTACATCACCTTCAGAAAGTCACACCAAAGATTTCTAAGAGGAGAATCTTCTCACTCAAGCTGCTGACCGCTAACTAACACGCATTGGTGTCAAGAACCTCATTGTTATATGAATCCATTGTTGATGCTAGTAGATTTACTTTCTCCAGTAGAAAAGATTAAAACTAGTATTGAGTGTTTAGTATAAACCATATTAAAGTTGCGGAGCTGAATTTGTGTTGGTGTGTATTTGAATAGTCAAGTTATATATTGTTAATGTGCCTAGTTCATCACAAAACCTCTCACTTCAGTCGTCGCCATCAAAACATAATATCAGATATGGCACCACTTCATAACACTCATTTTATACTATATTACTTGGGACTCTACATTATCACTGTATGGTTGAACTCTGAACGCTAATGTGTTTTCATACAGGTATCTGTTATCCAGCTGTTTAAAAGTCCGCTTCTTCGAAGACCTTTAGTGACTGCCATTGTGATGGGCCTCCAGCAAAACTGGTGTGGGATGAACGCGGTAAGACGACAAATTTATTAATAAATTTCTAAAGACCATTTTAAAACTAATTAATGTTTTTCTTAAGAGTTAAAGTCATGTAGTCAACTTCAAAATACTTTTTTTTTTCAAATTTATTTTCAGATTTTGTTCTTTTCCACCCAACTTTTTAAATCTGCTGGCTTGGACGACAGGAACGCGAGATACGCAACTTCGGGCACTGGTCTAATTTTCTTTTTGTGCAATGTATTCGCCATTTTTCTCTTGACGAGGTTCGGCCGGAAGACGCTATTTCAAATGGGAACCATCGGGATGGCCGTGTGTTCAGCTGTCATCGCGCTCACTATGTTGTATCAGGTACAATATACTTCGTCTCGCGTTTTATTCTCTGGAATAGTATTGTAATCCTTATTATAAATGTTAGGGGTTTGTTGAGAAGCAGATCTTCTGATCCCACTTATGACACCATAAATGTAAGGGGAATACCGATGGAGAGATGGTGATGGTTTTTATTCTCTCAAATCCGTGCTTTAACGTTGGAACAAGAAGGTTTACCAGACCTGAGCAAACAAAAATAATTACAGATCTAAACAACACCAATATTAAACTAAAAATGAAACTTTTTAACTCACAGTTCAATACGTATATTACATTCTTTAGACCTCATTTTGGCCTACAAATAGTCAAAACAGTGAAACAATACATATGAGACATGGCCCGTCTTTTAAATTTGACAACACTTTACTGGAATTACTAATACCAGTCAAATAGATAAAATCCCCAAACTTACATTTCAATGCAGAATTATTCACCTTGGTTACATAACATTCAAAAAACATATAAGTGTGAATAGTAAACCTGCATTTACACAACTCAAATCTACACAGTTAAATGTCATTTCCTCAAGTCCTACACTACTTGCAATGCTTAGGTATTCTCAGAATCACACGTGTAAATGTTACAATTCCTAGTCCTAATTTTATTCCTTGCACTGCTAAGTAATCCCTGAATCACACCTGAAAATGCTAATACCCCTAGTTCTAATTCCACTAATTAAACACGGTTTAAATCCTTCTATGAGTACTCAGCGGTACTAAAAACAATCTAGTTAGGCACAAAAGCGGCAAGAATATTTCCAACCAAGGATACAAGACATCTGCCCCTGGTACAACATCTGGCCATACGTATAACATCCAGTTAGGCAACAGCAAATAACAAAAATGACCACAGAAACAAAGCACATATCTACAAGAACAAGACGTTCGGCCGCTGGTGTAAACACCAGGCCATAGGAACAAAACATCAGCTGGGCCAATAAGCCAGCCCTGAAGCGGCCACCATATGGCCTAGACTAGTATCTAGCCCCAGCTATGTGTGTAAGGGAATTCACCATAGCCACCCTTCCTCATATATAGGCTAGCCTGTTGGACTCGATCTCACTCAGGTAATGGCCGTACGCCCATAAACTAAGGAGACGGCCATTGGGCCGGGCAGGCTATTAAAACAAACACAAAAAGCATGCTCACACCTAGGGTCCGTTCAAGCTAATCTCCGGCCGTAGTCCACGACTGCGAACGCTCATAAATTACCTGGTGACACCCTGGCAGATCCTTGCGTCGTGAGAACTGGGCGCCATCTTGTGGTTTGGGGGGGGGGGGGGGTGTGGGAAACATTACCCCGATCCAGCTACGACCATACACAACAAAAATATAACTAAAAAAAAACATGCAACTTGTGACCTCCAATAAAATAACCAACTAACATGCTTACTTAAAAATCACCATATATGTTATCCTAAATTTCATTTAAATCATGTAGCATCGTGTATGGTTAGTTTTACTTTGGAATATATGTGTATATAACATTTATCAAATTATTTTTTCCACCTCTCCAACGCCTACATGGTAGAATGAAGTGAGTGCTCTCAGATATGTGAATATTGCAGTCTCGCTATTTGTCATGGTCTGCTACTCACTGGGGCCAGGTAAGAAGAACCTGTTAAGTCTACATTTCTAATATTTTCCATTTTGAAAGGTACCAAACCTGTTTCATATGCAAATTCACCGAACCCTTTTTAAATAGTTGCATCTTCCGCACCGACACAATCCCATCGCGAATGAGTCGGGGGAGTGTCTTGACACCCGCGAACACATAAGACTGACTCGCCGAACCCCTGGAGTTCGATCGAACCAAATTAAGAATCACAGGTTTATAAGTGTTTAGTCTACACCTACTTATATGTTACTAGCCGTCCCGGCCAGGCCCTGCTCTGGCTTCTGTGAAAAACCTTCCTGTTAAAGACCATTACCTGTGTGTTTAGTAATCATCATAAACCCGGCATTGCCCACCCAAACCACAACCAACCAAAACCAAAACAACAAAACGCAAACATAACGCTAACACAAAAACGCAAACATAACGCTAACACAATTACAAATACAAACGAAAACAAAAACCTAACAACAAACCCAACCACAACCACAAACACCAATACAAACACAAAGAAAAAACAAACAAAAAACTAACGAAAACAAAAACCTAACAACAAACCCAACCACAACCACAAACACTAATACAAACACAAAGAAAAAACAAACAAAAAACAAACGAAAACAAAAACCTAACAACAAACCCAACCACAAACACCAATACCAACCAATAACAACACCAAAAAAAAAACGAAAAAGCAAACGAAAACAAACCAAATCCAAACGCAAAACCAACCAAAAATACAAATACAAACCCAAAGAAAAAAACACAAACAAAAATGAAAAAAGAAAGAACAAAAACGAACCAAATCAAACGGCAACCACTAACGCAAACCCAACGGAATCGCCTGTTTTAGCTTAATAAACGACTATAGTACCCCAACTTATTCATAGTCTTTTGCACTCACTTAAACGAACGCGCCTGTTTCAATTTCATGAACAATTTTAATACTCCAAGCTTATCCGTAAAATACCTACAACATTTGCACTTGATCAATCCCCGCTAATTATGTAATTATTTTTTTCCCAACACCAAAACAAAGTAATAAAAAGTAAATTCTTTTCCACTAATGCAATGGTTTTATAAAGGGAAGTAATTGTGTTTTCCTAATTTATCAAAGGGAAGTAAGTGCTATAGGACTAAATAAAGACATAATTAGAATTTTTGTAAAAGATGATATTTTTTAAAACTTGTGTTTAATGAACATGCCGAAAATAATTACTTTCAGTTTGATAAATGAAAATTATTTCCCAAAACTTTCAATATTAATTTTTTAACTCATAAATTCAGACTATAAGTCTTTACTTATCTAACACTTTAATCCATGGAAGTATGTCAACGACAAACATATGTATTTTTACATACAGAATTGAGCTTTATATATTAGATTCACCATGTACACTTGCTTACAGTGTGCGTGTTCTGGGTGATGCTGAGTGAGTTATTTCCCAACAGTGCTCGTGGGACGGGATTTAGTATAGCCATCTTGTGCGCCACCCTGAGTTTCTTCTCGCACAGCTACATATTTCCTATACTGCTGGTAAGTAGTCGGTGTTAGGGTTGCTGACGCAATCCACTGTCATTTTAAGAATACCGTTTCTTTGATCAGTCACATCACAACGATACAAACGATAATTCAGCGACACGACGCCTATTATTTTTTATCTCACTTTTTATTTGACTACAGTACTCATTTTAAATCCACACAACCTATCTTTCATATCAACATCATACCTCTCACATTCAATACCTAGCCCCAACTCTCTAGCTTGTATACCATAACACCATCGTTTTCTCCAATCCACGTCACAAACATTTTATGCGCGTCACATTTTCAATCGTTCATTATACACCGGTACCAACATTCATTCGCACCAACTTAAACTCAACAGGCATCATAACAGTCGGCATTGCACTCTCACACGTGTGTGCTTTCTCCGTTTAAAAAAAGCTGCACTCCTACACATTCTTCGTGTTCTTTCCACAGTCCAATCTACACTCCTACACATTCTTCGTGTTCTGTGGAATCGATGTCGCCATGGCCATCTTTATCCACTTTTACGTTCCTGAAACCAAAGACAAAACGTTCGCTGAGATTGCCAAGTCATGGAGCAAATCTACAGACGTGGACCTCAAACTGACGGACAGCGTGAGCGTGAATGAGGACATTCCAGTCGGCACTGAGAAAAACTCGGAACCGTCACCCCAATAGAATGTCAATGAATCTTTGTAGTTACTGGTTATGATGCGAGTCTTGGGTAACATTTTCGGTTACGGGCTTTTTTATTATTTCAGACAGGACTTTGAAGATTTTAATACAATTTCCATGGAAATAAGACCAACTTGTGGTGGAAAACAAAACTTTATACACATTTCCTTCTCTCTATTTCTCTTTCCTCTCTCTCTCTCTCTCTCTCTCTCTCTCTCTCTCTCTGGGTCGTTTTTTTTTATAGGTGCAGTGTTACTTTATCATTATGGCTACAAATCTGTTAATTTCGCTTTACAACGGTAAAAGAAAAACAATGAAAACCCGAGTCCAGCTGTATTGGTTCCATGACAAAATACCTCAGACAAAATACATCACGGACAGTTTATTATCAGGACAAAATATCTCAGGACAAGTAATCTCAAGGACAAATGATATCACGGACAAAAGTTATCAGGATAAAGTATATCAGGACAAATGATATTATGGACTTATGATCTCAGACAAAACATCTCAGACAAAATATCTCTCCTGAAAATATTGAAAGTATTTGGGATGATTTTAGGGGTCATCAATAAATGACGTCACGCTTTTTTTGACGATTTTTACCTTCCCCCTTCTGTCACACGTCACAAAAAGCCAGACCTCCCCCCTACAATGACGTCAAGCTTCAACCTACAATCCCCCTCAAAATTGCAATTGAATTTTTTCTTAAAACATCGATATTTTTCCAAAATCTTGCTAGAACTCTGTCAACATAGAGTATTTTAATAAATTTCAATTACAATTTATTATATCATTTCATTAAAATTCGTTTACCAACATTGCTTTTTTATAAAACTAAAGTTTGACGTCACACCATCTGGACGACCCCCTTAGTCGATTTTAACATTTTTAAAACTTTGTCATATTTGGTTTTTATTTACACATAAAATTATTTTTATTTTACACATAACAAATATGAGAAAATGTTGGTCTCATAGGTTTGTCACATTAAAAGAAAGATATTAACATTGCTATTAGAACTATAATACTCGTAGATTAAAACTAAATTTCGATAGAAGGTGTAGTTGGGTTTACTGATCATGAGACAATTCTACCACATCAGGTGGACAAAACTATATCAAAATGTTAGCTCATCCATGGATTTAAGGGCAATGAAAACAGAACACAGAGTAAGGTGGGTGCTTGCTTTGTTGGCAAAGACATACCCTCAGGTAGAAGATGTTCGCTATATTAGTCAAGCTCAAGTGATCCGGTACCTTTTGCTTATTGAAATGACAGTGGCCATTGCGGAGTAAAGTTATTCACATACTGCGTATGTAAATAAAGCAGTATTAGTGGTGATTACCTAGTTATGGCCTCCTTCGTTACATCGCAGAAAGACATCTGCACTTTTAAAAAGTAAGATTTACCATAGATACAGCTAGCAAAAAAAAACGTTAACGCTACACATGTGTTGATGATAAAATAAAAACATAATTTTTACGTTACGGACCTGAACACTCAATCACTTTATTGAAATTATTTCACGTGTTTTGAACATTAAATTAGTTAAGCCTTTCATAATTTTTTTTTGTTATACATTTCAGAAAAATTCTATTTAAAAAATTCATTTTAACTCGCTCATTTAGAATTTCCTTACAATTATTGCGAATAATAACCAAATAAAATACATCTAACAATAAAACAAAATCGATTAAACTCATCCTATATACTATACATATTTTGCGGTGAGATATTTTGTCTGAGATCATTTGTCCATGGTATCATTTGTCCATAGATATAAATGCAGGATAACCTAGTTACACCACTGATATTGCAACTACAGTACCTACAATGTCGTGCTTGATTATGCTGTAATTTGTCTTTTTAAAAAAGCGTAACTATACTCAGATTCAGATAAGAAAAGTTTAAAAGATGTATCCATACCTTTCTAAATAGACCTACTGTTGTAAACTGTTAGGTTTATAGTGGTGCTTGTTTGGATCCAGCCCCGGCTATAGCCCTCTCAGACAACCCTCCCTTCCCCCCCCCCCCCCCCCCTTAATCAGCGACTGGGCCTAGCTGTAGCAGTAAGAAAATAAAGAGTACAATATACTCTATTATTCCAGCAACTTTTATTTTAGACCGCCATCACGAAATACGGGTAGTGCTTATTTTGGTGAATGCTGGAGGAAATACGCAACGTGCTTAGATCCTCGAATACGTCGAGGATATATGTATCCTCTCAAGGTACAGTGTAAAAAAGCGTAGTGTTTTTTTTTTCACGACAGGATGTAAGCACTTTGCGTGCATTCTCTGCAGTATGTCTGCGGAACAACATAAATACTTCTACATAAAATGTAGATCTATACGTCAAAAGATACATTTTTATCTTTCAGTTAAAACTCTAAATATTTGATCTGAGAACAAAATAATTGATTCTTTCCTTAGACTATCCCTTTACTAACTCCAGACCTTAACCGTGAGTAACATATGGTGATTTAAAAATTTTATAATTGCCTTTTGCACCAATAATACACAAAACCACTTTTTTGTATAAAATAAAAGCGATAAATAAACCTAAGGCAATGGTTAGGCCTATTTTAGGTAAATCGGACGATCTCGATTCTAGTTTACACTATAAATAATTCACTTTTTAATGAGCTATATCAGGACTTATGTATTTCATATTAATCTTGTTTTTACTTTCTCGTATATACGAAGTATAGAGAAAGTATTGTAAGCGTGCACAAAAATAACATGAAATTTTGACAGTTTTCACCGCTTTACTCCTCAGTCCTTCATCACACTCGGAGTAAAGAGGACTTATTTTAATCAGGCAAAAATTATAAATACATATATATAAACATTTTGGCGTTTTATGCGTTATTGAGTCGTAAAAACTGGACTTTGCAATTAAGTCCGTTTTCTGTGTGTGTGTGTGTGTGTGTGTGTGTGTGTGTGTGTCTGTGAGTAAACACGATAACTTGAGTACCGTTACAGCTAGGTTGATAAAATTTTATATAAAAGTATTTTATCAAAATCGAAGATCCTGGTCAACTTTTGAGCGATTTCCGATAACCGGAAGTTGTACTTTTCCTACTTTGAATTTTTAAAAAGCCTATAACTTGAGTACTATTTCAGATAGATAAATGAAATTTCACATGTAAGTAAAAGATCTAATTCTCTACCTTCTCTCAAAGTTTAAGTAATTTCCGTTGATTGAAAGTACACATTTACGCTATTTCCGATTTCTCAAAAAACGAATGTAAATTTATAAAGTACTAATAATATTCCGCACTATTATGCACGTTTTATTTGGCGTTCACAGGTGTGCATTTTTTTTTCTACGGGATTTTATTCTATTTTAAAAAGTTTAAGTATTTAAAATGGATTAAAATTCATGTCTATATCCAGAGTTGCCATCCCGTTTTTTTTATAAAAGAATATTCGAGAAAGTTTAAGAGAGATCGCTTTCGCTTTATTTAACATTGGTATAAGTTAAATTAGGATATAATTTAATTAAAACAAGATTTTACTTTTGATTGCGAAGAGTAGGCCTACGCTAAATAATACAAAAAAAATTCACCTTATGATATGAGAGTTCTTAGCCAAGATGAGAGAGCGTTAGTTAATTACTAGGGTGGCATGGTTATGGATCCTTAGAAGTCATTGTCATTTTCACCTTCTCGTATAAGGAGTATAGAGGAAATATTGTAAAAATTGTACCCAAAAAAAACAAATTTTTACAAATCTCGACGTTTTACACCTCCCTAAGTCGGTTAACATAGTTTTAGTATTTTGTCTGTGTGTGTGTTTGTAATCACGATAACTTGAGTACCACTACAGCTAGGTTGATAAAATTTCACATATAAGTGTTATATCAAATTTGTAGTTCTGTGTCAACTTTTCAGCAATGTCCGATAACCGGTAGTGGAACTCATGCTCATTTTGGTTTATCATAACCTATAACTTGAGTACTGTTTCAGATAGATAAACGAAATTTCACAAATAAGTAAAATATAAAATTTTCTGCCTTCTTTATTGTAATTTCTGTTGACCGGAAGTAGTAATTTAAGATTTATCCGATTTCTCACAAAACGCATGTGAATTTATACAGTGCTAATAATATTCCGCACTATTATACACATATTGTTTGCCGTTCACTTGGTGCGCAATTCTTTTTCTACGAGATTCTATTCTATCTTAAAAAGTTTAAGTAATGAGAAATTGATTAAAATCATGTCTATATCCCGCGTTGCCATCCCTCGTAATGTTATATAAGAATAGTTGAGAAAGTTTAGGGGAGATCACTCCCGGTTTACTTTGTGTTAATGTTCCTACTCAGAAAGTTGACAAAGAGTATCCCAAAGCTCGCGAATGGCTCCAAATAATTAGTATACTTTTACGTGTGGTTTAATAATTTCTTTTTTTTTTATTATTTGTATGTGGATCGCGCTAGAAAAAAACCGCATCATAAAAACTATTATGATTCTGATTCTGATTAACTGAAGCACAGGTTTTGTTTTGTGCTACCGCCACCCGAGCAGTGCACTGAATGAATATCCATATCTACACTAATGCGACACAAACACAAGAGATGTGCTACTGGCATTTGCTCAGCGCGTACGCTGATATACAATCGTCTACGTCGTACTGTCCGTGTCGTAAAAATTTTAAAGAGTAATATGTATCGGTAAAGGGTTTGAAATCACTATTTTTTTTTAAAGGCCGGAAGTTACCTGTGTTTTAAATTTAGTTCTTTGAATTGAAAGGTGGGCCAGTATCATTGTTTTTATTTGCCGAATCAATAAGCAGTAAAAACCGAAACTAGACGCCAGTTGAACAAGAGACCCTCAATTTTGGAGGCCCCAACATATTCTCTCATCAACCACAGTAAAAATAATGTTCCTATCGATTTTTATTTGTTTCTTACAGTCTAAAGTCTAAATGAATGTTGAATGTCCAAACCATAAGCTTTTTTTTACCTATTAATATACTAATACGAATAGATGAGACTTTTCACCTAATAAAATTAGTATACGTTTGTCTCTTTGTCAGACATCAAGGCCCAAGCTCTATTGTGCAAACCGTCGGCTAGTTGTCAGCGCTTCGTGAGCTCTCCCTGAGTTGATAAATGTGTTTTAATTGATCTTGCCTACAAAATCTGACCAAAAAATATGATACAAAAAAACCCACATTAGGCTAGCTTACTTTGTCGGGCCTGCAAATGAATAGTGGACTGATCACACATACTAAAATAATATAAAGTGACATGGATATTACATAGCTATTATTATAATCGTGTGCCTTCCATCGAATCCAGACAAACAGCGCTTTAACTCTAACATGTTTACAAAGGTTAAAATTGTATGAAGAGACGTTTCAAATTTTTGTTATCTGAATCAAATTTTCGTATAATTACGATTTTTCAAAAAAAAAAAAGTTATAATATAATCAAGCACGATTTTAAAGGGACTGTAGTTGTAATATCAGGGGTGTAACAAATTTATCTTCGGTTTATACTCTTCAAGGGATAGAAAATGTTTCGCCATTTAAGCCTAAAATGTCTATTTCCATTTAACAATTTTAAACACTCCTACCTAAACATGATTGTGTATTAGTAAACAATTAGATGCCACCTTCGCTAGACTAATTAAGACTTTGTTAGTCAACGCAATATGGTGCTAGTATTTAAATATAAAAAAAAATTTAAATAGAAATTAATTTAGATAGAAATTCATGATTGTTCAAAGTAGGTTGAATTGAGATTTTGTTTACCTTTTATACTCTGTTGACGATACAAGGGCTTGTATTTTTTTAAATATTATTCAGAAATGTATTAAATTGTGTCACTTATTTCCCCTATTTTGATAATTGCCGCTCCAACTGCCGCAAAAATCTGTGTATGTTTCGGTGGTAGGGGCCCTAAGTTTTTTTCACGGGTCTCCGGCTGATCTGTTACGCCACAACAAGCCAAGTACATTTTATAAACTTTAAGGGTATCTTGAAAGTAATTATTCAGATTTACATTCCAATTTATTTTGTGGGCATCCATAGAGTTTAAATGCTCATTATCATAAAGTATACAATGTAGAGGCATCTTTTATGAAATTATGATTATTTTTATTTTTACTGTTGTATGGCATCTAGTTATTAGGCCCATATGTCGTGTCATCTGTAAGGTAATTTTGCTTGTATTCAATATATATTTATAGAGCAGAGACATACAATGATCTTGCTCATATTCAGGGGCGGAACTACCGTGCCGCCAGATCCCGCAATGCGGGGGGGGGGGGGGGGGCACGCCATTTAGGGGCCCACAGCAAACCCTAATAATTTTTTATAGTTAAAAAAATAATAATTTTCTTGCATTTTTACTTTCTCGTATATACGAAGTATAGAGAAAGTATTGTAATCGTGCACAAAAATCACTTGAAATTTTAACAATTTTCACCGTATTACACCTCAGTCCTTCATCACATCCGAAGTATAGAGGACTTATTTTAATCGGGCAAAAATTATCAATCCAGATTTATCAAAATTAAGAGGTTTTATGCGTAATCCAGTCTGAAAAACTGGGCTTTGCAATTCTGTCCGTATGTCTGTGTGTCTGTCTCTGTCCGTGTGTAAACACGATAACTTGAGTACCGTTACAGCTAGGTTGATGAAATTTCATATATAAGTATTTTATCAAAATCGTAGATCCGTATCAACTTTTGAGCGATTTCCAATAACCGGAAGTGGTACTTTTTCTACTTTGAATTTTTCAAAAGCCTATAACTTGAGTACTATTTCAGATAGATAAATGAAATTTCACATATAAGTAAAAGATCTAATTCTCTACCTTCTGTTAAATTTTGAGTAATTTCCATTGACCGGAAGTAGTAATTTACGCTACTTCCGATTTCTCAAAAAACTAATGTAAATTTTTAAAGTACTAATAATATTGCGCACTATTATGCACTTTTTTATTTGGCGTTCACAT